TTGCTAATGAAGTGACCTGCTACCCCTTCACTGTTGTAACTGTTTCCCCTTACTCTTACATTTCCTTTCAGTTTTGGTTCTTTTCCTTGATACTAATCCTCTGAAAATGATCACCAATTAGTGTCACGAGGCCTCTTTGGACAGGTAAGTTATCAAAACTCTTGACCAACTTCAGAGCTGCATAAGTTTTTACCACTGAACTCTATCTGAAGAATGCAAACTTCTGTTCTGTGCATGGCCAGAATTGCCTCAGCTGTTGTTCTCATTTCGTATTCAATTGTAATCCTCAAGGCTGAGCTTTTCTTCCTTTCGTAAACCTCAGGGCCAGAACCTAGCAGCGTACACCTATAGGAACAGGCTCCGCAAAAACCGACTAGAAAATACAGCATGCAAGAGGCTTCCTCTTATGGGTGTGCGGGCTCAGTTCTCCCTGGTAAAAGAAGATTCACATCAGTTTCCTCAGGTTTCCAGAGGAGACCTCTAGCCACCCAGGCAGGGGGAGTGGCAATAGCAGCATTTCCAATCCCTTCCACTTGATAAAGCTGAGCCACTCTTGAAATTATTTTATCAAATGATTATTTAATACATAGAGATCTGTTCAGCTGAGAGCCTAGTGCCTTAGCCAGTAGGATACTACATGAGAAATTACATGTCCTATTTCACCTGTCCTATCTTAAAAAAAAAAAGGCATGATTTATCCTCAGCTTAAGAAACCCATCATAGGTGCGAGCTCTGCACTGTGAATCACAAGTGACACTTCTCTAGCTCAGGGGCACCTGGAAGTAGGGGGACATTAAGAAATGCCTTGTTTCAATTTCTTACTGGTTTGTTTGGACATTTCTCTACTCACAGAGTCACAGAATAGCTGAGGTTGGAAGGGAGCTCTGGAGCCCATCTGGTCCAAGCCCCCTGCTCAAGTAGAGTCACCTACAGCCAGTTGCCCAGGACCACGTCCAGATGGCTTTTGAGTACCTCCAAGGAAGGAGACTTCATAACCTCCCTGGGCAACCTGTGCCAGTGCTTGGCCACGCTCACAGTAACAAAGCATTTCCTGATGTTCAGAGGGAACCTCCTGGGTTTCAGTCTGTGCCCATTGCCTCTGGTCCTGTCACTGGGCACCACTGACAAGAGCCTGGCTCCATCCTCTTTGCACCCTCCCTTCAGGTGTTTATAGACACAGAAATGTCTATAGTCCCAGCTCTCTCAGCCTTTCCTCACAGGAGAGATGCTCCTGTCCCCTCATCATCTTCATGGCCCTTCACTGGACTCTTCAGTATATCCGTGTGTGTCTCATACTGAGGAGCCCAGAAACCGGACCCAACACTCCAAGCATGGCCTCACCAGTGCTGAGCCGAGGGGAAGGATCACCGAGCATGCCCGGCACTGTGAATTTAATTCTAGGCGTGAGTGTGCAAGGGCTCGCTGTGGGTGCTGTACACCCAAGTGAGAGGTTATACGTACCCATCATGCCAAAAAGATAGCCACTACAATCAAAGCAGCATGTCTTTTTTGTGCATCTGTTCTCTCCTCTGAACCAAACTCTTTCAGAAACTACTAATATATTAATTCTTCTACTCTTTGCCACAATTATTCTGAGCTTTTATTTTCTTTTTCCTGTTTCTCTCCATACTCTTTACAGGATTTTATGGAAAGGAAATGTATATCAATGTCTAGAAGAAAGGAAGTAGCTGGAACTGACTACAGTATATCAGCAACAATACACCTATATTATATAAAGATTGTGATTTCCCTTTCCTAAGATACTTTTGTGAATGGAAGTCAAACACGCGCTGACCTTTTTTGCTATTACATCACTCCGAAAACACATCTGCTGGGGCGTCTGCAATCATCACAAAGGGGTTTTGTTATGTTTTTTTAAACAAAGACAATGCAGCGTACTTTTTCCTTAACCTCATCTAGAAGTGTTTTGCCTGGAAATATTCCTAATAACTCAGGCTGAGGCAAACACTAAATACACAATATTTCAAACCGATAACTGTGCAAAAGTTAATAGCACTGTAAACAAGTTTCCAACACACAAAGTGCCAGAAACTTTACAAACTGCATCATTACCATTCCTATATATAACAGCATTTAATGCATTAGCTGTTTCATGGTTCCCCAAATTAGTCTTCTCACTGACATAAAATAAAGGATTATGGAGGATAATTATCAGGGCTCCTATTTTTAGGATTAACATACTAGCTGACCTACATCCTAGTCTTTCTGTGACATTTTCACAGACCACCACGTTAGCTCACGTTTAAGAACTGAGGAGATTTTACAATATCAGCGCCTCATTGACTTTGCTTTGATTTACGTTCAAATACATTCAGGCTTAAGTACTTTTTAACTCATAAGTGAAAATACACAAATACAGAGGTGTGTCAGTTAAACACGACTACCCTCCATACAGGAAGAAATCCACTGTGCACATTCAGCTCTCCCACTAACGTGGCATGTATTCCTCAGTTCACTATAAAGACTTCTTAGTTTCCATTTTAAATTACTTCAAGACAAGACTTTCTGCAGCACTGTCGATCTGACAAAGTTCTCTTGTGAAGAAAGAAGAGAGCGCTTGCTGTTTGAAAACAAGCTGGATATTTACGTGCATTGAGCTATCTGAAAACAGCGGGAGAAATTAGAGCTATTTGGGTACTGAAAACCGAATGACAGAAGTCGTGGGTCTTCGACTACATACATAAAGGCATTGAGCTTCAGTGACTGAACTGATCTCCTACACCTTCTGCCCAGAGAGGAAGACACAAGGATTACAATTCTGTTGGAGACTGCAAGGTGGATTTTCATCCTAGAAGAAAGATTACCCCTTTTCATTCATGGAGTCCTACAACAAGCTGTACAACCACTTTATCTGTGCATCCTATAGCATTTGTCCTTCTCAGGCTTCAAATCAAGATGCCTTGTAATGCAGTGACCATATTTCAGGTTCACTTTTAAATCGCTTCACTTTTAAGATTTTTTCCTTAATCTCCTTTATGCTGATAGACCAAAACCCAAGTTGAGGTGCATGGCTGGAAAGTAACCCCCTCTGTAGAACAGAAGGTGACCCTGACAAATTGCATAAAGCTCTTTGGAGGCTGCATTCCCCCTCCCTCCTGTTTCACCACTTGGATTCCTTTGTTTGGTAAAATAGGTCAGTGCTCATAAAAACACCCCTCCAGGGCTGACCTCCTCACACGACCACAGCAGCCAACTACAAGGAATACGGATGCTAACATGGGAGCAGTTGATTCACACAACTTTCATGAGGCATGGAGAACTGAAACGACACACACAGAGACCAAACTGTAAGGAAAGGGACTACAAGATGAGTCAGAAAAACATGAATGCCTATCTCCCATCTCAGAGCTCCAGCGATCCTGACACAGGCTGCGACAGGCTCTATGAATATCTAGCTGCAGAAAACTGGTGTCTTCAGAGGAAGATAAACAGGGGATGCTATGATTCTGGTCACTACAACATAACCTCCAGCTCATAACGTAATTCAGGCTGGTTAACAGCTCTGCCCCGTCCTTAACATCCTCTGCAGATATGCAGCCCTTGCATCCTTTCTTACCCATACAGCCAAGGATGCCACTTGTGGTTTTGAAGTGGTCTTTTCTGGAAGAAGTTGAGTCATAGCAACTACAGTCTTAAAACAACTTAAATACCCCGATCCCTTTCAGAGAAGACAACAGATGCACTTTACTACCCCACCCAGGTACATACAGAAACTGAAACATCAAAAATGATGTTATGAGACCTCGATCAAGGCCTCACTCCTGTGCCTCCAGAACAAAGAAAAAATTGCTATTCAGTTGTAAAAAAAAAAGGGGACTGAAATCTAATGTCTGGCTTCAGATCAGAGATGACAGCTCAACAGGAAATCCACTGGGTTGAAGATTGTAAAAGGAAATCTCTTTCCCAACACTTTTTTCAGATGCTTTATTGCTTGGAAAAAAAAAAAAATTGTATCCTGTTACCTTTCCCAAACTAAGTCTTTATATGATCTAACACTAGACATATAATTTGTTCCAAGATTCAAGAGACTAAGCTTGGCTCCTCAGTTAGAGACTGGCAGGATTTAGTAGCCAAGGTATAGTGCCGCACAAATGCAACTGCGCTGTTTACAGCGCCCACTTTTTTAGAGAAGTGTGACGACCATCGTTATGCAGCTCACACTAATAAGGGACACCAGATCTCTGCTGGCTCTGCACTTTGCAAGGTTAGGTGTCTCTCTGCTAACAGCTCACTTAAAAACTCAGGTTTCAAACTCTGAGTAAAGCCTCGCTGATTTTGAACTGAATTAACTCTATATGTATGCAGTACCGCAGGGAAGTTAGTGAGATGTACTGGAAGTACACGGACAAGCATCTGAACCAGCTCTGAAGACAACAATTCTGGTTCAGAAGTATTGCCTGGGATTCTCCTTTACTCAAATTATTTTTGCCAATTACTTAGCTGGTTACAAAACACCAACTGTGATGCTAATGGAAAAAGAAGCCCTACTGCGAAATACATGAGCTGCACAAATAGGAAAGTCTTCTCCTATGTGTCCAGTAAAAATGGAGTTGCCATTTCAAATGAGATGCACAGAAAAATCTCTACCATTAGGGAATTTTTGTCTTTCATAAACACCAATACTGGACAGTTGAGTGCAATTAGCATTGTGCTGTGTAAAATACAGTATACTGCCTGTTATCACATAAACTACTGCAGTCTTGTAACACTGTAACACTGAAGACCTTAGGGTTTAAGCTAAGGGACACAAATCAGTTTTCATATGTATTGTATGGTGGAAAGTGGGAACAGTATCAAAGTGTCTACTATCCTTCAAAAAGAGAAAACAAGTCTTTTCAGAAGTATTGAAAAGTGTATAACCTTAGTTCAGCAATTTTACAGAGAATTTTCGGAAAATATAATCATGGAAAATTACTTCTGCCAAAATATACTGACATGTGAGTTCCTCAGGATGTTATCAAATCATATCACTAGATTACCTTCTGCTTTTGTGTAGATTGAGATGTTTCCATTCACCAAGCCAGCAAACAAGTACTGAGACATATATGTTAAGCTCATAACAGTTGATTTTTCAGGAGTGAAGAAGTGCTGAAGTCTAATTTTCTTTGAGCCTTGGCAACTTTTGTAAATAGAAATGCTATAAAAAGATGCAAGAAAAAAAAAAAACAAACAGTGAAACTATGTTTTATTTAGTTCTTATTAGAATATGGATAAAAAGTTTAGAATAAAATATTGGGGGGGGGGGGGGGAGTGTAGATTTTCTCCCTCCATTCATAGGAAGATGAGTATGGAAAGGGGTATCTCAACCCACCAAAATGTCTATGTAAACAATTTGCAATTAATTAACATTGACATATGACAACACTTTTGATATTATCTTGTCTGGAGCAACATTAGTCAACAAAGAGACATAATAAAAATTCTACTCAAAGTCCTTACTATGAGCCTATCCAAAACTTTCTACCAGTTTAAAAAAAAAAAAAAGGATTAAGTATTACTTGGAGAACTAGGGAAAAGAGAAGAAAAGCTCATTACCAGACAGGAATTACACTTAAAAGTCCCACCATTTCTACCGATTATTACCATGGGTATGTTAGGAATATTGGATAGTTACATCTGGAATTAATTGTACTTCACAAGTAAAGATAATCAGTACAATTAGGTGTTGGACTTTCTGGAAACATAGCAGTTTCCTTGGAGAATTTTGTTCTCCTTCACTTATAACCGTTAGAAATACCTTAAAAAAAAAAAATCACATGTAGTTACATAATTATGCCCTCACTAGCTATAACAAGATCTGTTTGCTTGCTGGCCTATAAGTTTAGAAAATATAGCGTTGTTCTCCAATGTAAATCAAGTGATGACTCAGTAAGGTCATCAGTTCAAATGAAGCAAAATAATTCATGTCAATAGTACGCAGCAATATTATTTATTCGCATGACAAATTCTGCACAATATCACAGTGTTAGAAGGTTAATTGGTTCCTCATTAACACTTTTGTCATTCTGATAATTTTCCAATGCCTAAAGGCTATGTTGCAACATTGCAAAAGTACTATTTATGTTTTTGTTATGTTGTAACACTGCAAAGGTAATATTTATGTTTTTGTTACAGCATAACACTGCAAAAGTAATGTTTATGTTTTTGTTATGTTGTAACATTGCAAAAATAATGTTTATGTTTTTCAGACATGATGTATGACGAATTAATCCTCTTTCAACAATATGCAGTATTTTAATTTCAAATACTACAAAGTGTATTTTAAAATGATGTACAGTGGATATTTTTTTCTTGATTTAGGTAGAAAGGATAAATTGAGGTCACTGGGACATCACATGGATACTTTTTAAAAAAGAAAATTTTTTTTTGGAAGTATCTCACACAATTTTGCTATAGAATAGTAAACTTAATGAATAAATCATATACAGGACATTAAAAATGAGAATCACCTTCCTTCTTCCATGCCAAGGCAAATAGTAGGCACATTAGAAGCTTTTGCAAAAACATTTTCAGAGTCGAGAGCCTTATTTTGCTCTTTCAGTTTCTCCTCCTCTGGTATGTAGACCATGCAGAGAATCCGTGATTCCACATTGAAGCACTCAATAACCTTCGGGCTGGAGCTTTGAAATGAGACTATTGCAATCTGGCCCATCTGATTAGTACAACTGCCAATCTGAATTGGAAAGAGGAAAGAAAGGGAAAAAAAAAGACCAAGACTGATATCGGTCTCCAGGAAGATCAGCATTAAGAAGGAGCAACGACTGGAATGTTAATCGAAGAGTGCATCTCAAGTTATATGCGTGAATATGAGTCTCCATGAATTAAGACATAAACAAGAAAATAATTCAGCACAAATACAAGAGATTTCAAAACATTATATGCACAAATTTCCCCCGTATAGTGACAAAAGCAGTTCTTTCTTTTTTGAAAGGAGGAATATTATGGCCTACTCTGATGTCTGACTCATACGTATATACATAATGTAATGCAACTACAGTATGTACCTGTGTAATATATTATTTTCATAACCAGTGTTCTGTTACCTCAGATTCTCTTAAAATACATAATACAGATAAGGCCTGTCCTTCGCACAGTAACAGGTCTACAAATAAATGCTGTGTCCAACAGAAAGAGGGATTCTTAATATAATCCCTTTTGCAAACTTGCTGATACAGTTCTGAATCAGGGAGACAGTGTTCTAAGTTACCTCAGATTCTCTTAAAATACATAAGGCCTGTCCTTCGCACAGTAACAGGTCTACAAATAAATGCTGTGTCCAACAGAAAGAGGGATTCTTAATATAATCCCTTTTGCAAACTTGCTGATACAGTTCTGAATCAGGGAGAAGTCCTAAGTATCACCAATATTGCTAAATCTGTACATTTTACGGCTCTAGGAAGAGTAAAAAGAAAAGTCTGCCCAAGCAGCAGTACGTGTTTTTATATAGTAGCTCTTTATGTTTATATGAAAAGAAAAAACATTGCAAAGAAAAAAAGAAAGAACATTTTGTGGCAGTAGAAAGATTTTATCAGCATATATTTGTGATAACTGTTTACAAATAGTGAAGACAAAAAGAAATTATACAGGTCACCTTGAAAAAAACCACTGACGTAAACTATTTCTAACTTCTACTTCTAATTCTCAGGGTTCCCTGAAAATTTCAGTATTGTAGTAACAAGAAAAGCTGCTGAAATCATTAGCTGGGTTTTTTGGGTTTGTTTGTTTGATTTGGGTTCGTTTGTTTGTTTGTTTTGATTTGTGGTTTTTTTTTCCTAAGTATTGGCTGTCTCACTTTGTCTGCTGGAATATCTGCATATTTGGGGTCATAACAATATGCCAAAATAGTGTTTGTTTTTTTTCCTATGTACAGACTTAAACAGATTATTTATGGCTAAAACATTTTAAAAATATGAAAACAGACAATAGGACAGTGCGAGCTCATATGGGTTTTAGCAGCCCTCATTATAAATTAGCACATAAGTCACTTCTGAATGTGCTCAGCACTTTGGAATTCGTTCTGTGCCGCACTAACAAATCACATGCACACAAGTGACACCCCACAGAGAACAGCGAGATCACATGGACAAAATTACTAGCTATCCTTTATAGAAGTCCATCTTAAAACAAACGAATAAAATAAAAAAAAAAAAGAAAAAAGAAAAAAACAATCCAAAATTCATTTCAGATCCATATGTTGCTGAGAGTCACAAAAAAGCGATGCAGAGAAACAGGAGACAACCCCCATTTTAGCTTTTAGAGATCACACTTACCCAAAGAAAACCATGTTCCATGGCACAGGAATCTGACTCCGTTTCTCCAGAGAGGTACGGTTCAGGATTATAAGCAGCACATTCAATCTTCAAACCAAAGAAACGAAAGCAGTTACCCTATTAAAAAGATATGCCTGTTTCTGCCTAATTTAGTCTGTAATTAACTAAAGCATTTAAGGATATCAAAGAATATCACAAAAGGCAAGAAGTCAGTTTAGTCCATCCAGCTTGCCGTCAGCTGCACGTGTGTTACTCCCGACACATTCCTTACCTACTCTTACAGATATTAAAAGCTGAAGACTACAAATTCTCTAGCTGACCTGTTCAAATGCTTCACGATGTTTATTAAGTTTTTCCAAATACCCAACCTAACATCATCCTTGCTGTAATCGTTAGTCTGTTACTTCTCATCTCAGCCACCAAATACTTTCCTTCTGCAGTGTCCTTTTACGTATAAGGCTGATACATGTCATGACCCTGCCCGAGTCTCCTCTTCATTACGCTAAATTAACATCACCACTTAATTAAATTTAAAATTTTTAATAATTTTTTTTAATTCTTGTTTTTAAAATTCTCAATTATTATTACTTTTCCAACTGGCACCTCTCCAGCAGATATATCAGCTCCATATATTTGAGAGTGCAGAACATTCTCACCTGAACACGCTATTCGAGCAGAGCCGTTAGCAGCACTACATCACGATTACCTCTTCTGAAGCCTGTTTGTACACATCCCATTGATTATTTGCTCTTTGTAATAATGTTACATTCTTAACCAATCCTTAGCTTGCTGGTCTATTAAAAATTACTTTTACAGACCTTCTACTCGACCACCTCAATCTGTACTTGTGAAGCTCTTTATTTCTGCCTGAGCATACTATATGTCTGTCCTACTGACTGTCATCCCTTTTTTTTTTTCTCCCCCCCCAAGTTATTTCTCCAGGTGCTTTACTAATTTTGAATGCTAACATTATCATCCATGATACTCCTACTCCTTCCCAGCTTCATGTCATCATGTTACTGTCAGTAAATTAATAACCATACTCATGATTTTATCATGCAGGCCATTCAAGAAAAATGTGAAAGCCGCATCAGACTCAAGATCTGTATTTAAGTTCATCTCAACTCTGAAAATCATTCAAACACCAAGGTTCTGAAAACAGGCATTTTTATGAGCAGTCATGGATTTCCATTTTCCCTGATTGCCCTAATATCCATAGCAGAGCTCCCTAAACCTTATGTAAACACTTTAATGTATATACAAGCAATTCATAACCATGTAGAGAATAAATAGGTTTCTGATGAGATGTGATGCTACATTTTCAGACAAGATTCCCTATACTCACACTTATGTTCTTGTCTCAGACATCAATGTCACTACGATTATATTGCAGAACTAGAGACAATTTGGTTGCTATTAACTTAGACAACTTCACCATAACCTGGTAACATCACCTCCCAACAGTGAATAATTAAAAAAAAACAAAACAAAACAAAACCCCAGCAAAAACAGGAAACGAGCAAGTGTAAATTAGAGGTTAGAGTTCTAAATTCCCAGTTTACTTAATTTTCAAAAATGCAAAGAATTTCAGAAATCTCCCTGAAGTCAGCAGGCATCACCAGTTGATTAGCAGTAGTAAACAATAATGTTATGTAATTCACTATAAGGCTAAAATTCACTATATTCACTGTAAGCAATTCACTATAAGGATAAAAGATGGAAACCAACAGATGAGACAAAGAAAAAAACAAAAGAAAAACCAAAAAAAGAGCTACCCATGCCTGTCTTAGCATGTTTCATTTAATACATGCTGAAGTTATCTACTTGTAGTGGTGATTTACAGTAGCTGTGATAGCTAAATACATCACTAGCGGAAAAAAAGACAACCTGCATACTGGATATTTCTCGGGCTGCTGGTTACATCTCTCTGTTAGATTGCATCTTAGTCAAAACTGATGTTTTTCCATAGTTAAACCCTGATAGTTTAGCTCTCAATCTTGACAGAAGCCCTTTGCTGGGGTGTAAACTTGCTCTGATGGGAGAAGTTGTTGCAGGCTCCCTACACCACCGGGTAGCCTGAGCAGCACATGGAGATATAACAAGCAGGATCAGCTGAGCAAAGGGTCTCTTCCCCCCCGCCCCAAGCTGTGGCCTGACACCCAAACTGCAGCTGAGGCTGAGAAAACCATCAATAACACTTGAGATCACCTTGTCCAGTAACACCGACGACTTAGGAGCATCAAGTGTGACAGCTGGGTTCACACTCCCATGCAACAGGCTACAGGCTTGGGGACAAGTGGCTG